CCGATTTCAGGGGATAAATAACCTCTCGGCAGACATATTTTTAACACAGGTCGATGTTTATCATTTTTAATATTTGGAAGATCTTATGGCAAGTTAAATTTTTGAAATTTCAATCTTTTCATTAAATATTTAAACCGTAACAGTCCTTAGAAATAAATACCCTTCATTTTATGGCATAAATATGTTCACATACACATATATGTGAGTATTTGTGTGTGTTGCAGGAAAAAGTTTCTATTTCAGATCATTAAACACAAACATATGAATAAACATTTACCATTACCATTTTCCAACGTAATACCATTTCTAGTTATTTCATCCCCTCTCAGCAAGGATAATTTTTATTTGAAGAAACTTCAAACTTTGTTGGGATTTAAGTAGCTTTTGTACGAATTGAAATTGCTACCTAATAGTACAATAAATATAATATGACAAAAATTTCAAAAATAATTACATGGCACATTACAATGTTTTGTCATATTTCACTTCAATGGGACAAATAAAAATTTATTTAAAATATTTGCGAATTTTTTCTGGGTTCTGTAATAGTAAGAGAATAGACTAAAGTGAATAAAATTAAGGGAAACCAGTAAAGAAAGCAGTAAAGTTGGATGGGGCCGACTATATGATACTTTGGGTATATTCAACAGATGCATTCTAACAGACGTCGCATTTTCGAAGGACCATTGACATGAAAGCCAATCTCAATCGGACACTCATTGATTATATGAAATCCAATAAGCATGAAGTCGGTCGAATATACGGGCTATATCTTATAGTCTACACTCAATTTTGTGCGTTGTGCAAAATTTCGCGTCAATCTCCCAAAAATGAGGAGTTTGGGCACCATTTACTAAAATCGGATGAATCGGATTGGTCACATGTTAGTTTATACTAATTTCAGCACGTTTTGTGCATTATTTACTTAAAATCGGAGCTATATCCAAATCTGAAGCGATTTGAACGAAACATGCCACAAGTTAGACTATACTAACTTCAGTACGTTGTGCAAAATTTTGTGTATATCGGCCATATTTTGGGTCCTTGGTGCTTCATTTACATAAAATCGGAGGAAAATATATATACATCTGAAGCGATTCCAACAAAATATGACACACGTTGGACTACACTAACTTCAGTAGGGAGTGTAAACTTTTGTGCCAATCTACCTAATATTGGGTCTTTGTTGCAACACTTACTTAAAATCGGGCATAACAATGTATGGGAGCTATATCTGATCCGATTTCGACGTAACTTTCCATACATTATACATACATACATTTGGACCTAGTTCAGTATGCAGTGCAAAATTTTGTGGCAATCGGCTAAAATAGGGTATTTGATGTACCATTTACTTAAAATCCGGCAATACTATATATGGGAGCTATAACTAAATCTAAACCTATTACAACGAAACTTGTCACAGGTTAGGTTATACTAATTTCAGTACATTTTGTGCCTATCGGCCAAATGTTGGGTTCTTGGTGCATAACTTACTTAAAATCGGAGAAAAATATATATAGGAGCTATATCCAAACCTGAACCGATTTTCACGAAACTTAACACAAATCATTCTGGACTTAATTCAGTACGCTATGCCAAATTTCGTGCAAATCGAAAGATATATAGGGAATTTGGTGCACCATTTACCTTAAATCGGTCGAAAATATATATGGGAGCTATATCTAAATCTGAATCGATTTTCACGAAACTTAGCACACATCATGCTAGACTCAATTCAGTACTCTACGCCAAATTTCGTGCGAATCGAAAGATATATAGGGACTTTGGTGCACCATTTACCTAAACTCGGACGAAAATATATATGGGAGCTATATCTAAATCTAAACCGATTTTTCCCAATTTCCATAGGGTTCGTCCTTGGGCCAAACAGATAAGCTGTACCAAATGTCATCCAAATCGGATTATTAACCCTTTGAACCCCGAATTTTTTTCCGTAATCATAGAACAATTTTCTGTTCACAGATTTAATGCAACTATCCTAGATAGGATATGTACAAAATTTTACATCGCTACATCCTTGCAGTCGGGAGATACAGTACATTCTTTCTGAAAAATAAAACCCCAATATCCAGAAATCCAAATGCAAAATCGACGAAAAAATAATTTTAAATTATTCTCTATATTCTGTTTTACAAGAATCAAAAATAATTCTGAAGGCAGAATTCGTACATTTCGAATACGAAGCGATTTAAAATATTTGGACTGTATACAAAAATTAGTACTCTACAAATTTTTTCCCTCTTCTCTAAATTGAAAAGCTCATAACTTTAACAAAAATTTGAATTTTTTAGATTTTTCTTTTGATATGTGTCGTCCATAATTAGGTCTTGACGTATGAAATCCAAAAAATATATATCTACTAGCTACATATTAAATATAAGCTCTAAAACATTTTGTTGCCTGTGGGCAACATTGGGCCACAAAGGGTTAGTGCTACCTGTACTTTGTTTGCAATTTAACATCAACAGACGGACGGACGGACATGCATAAATCGACATGCATATTGCTATGTCAGCAGACAGACGGACAGACAGAGAGAACAAAATCGACATAGAAATATATTGTAGTCAACACTGTAAATAATTTATTGGGTCCAAATGAATTTAATAGATCATTCACCTTAGTCTGCCAGAAAAAATGTGTTATAGGCTGAGAATATATATCAGTCCGCAACATCGTCGGAAGAATATGTCGAGTTTTAAAGGGTATTCAATAGGACACGCATGCACAAGATATGAAGAAGTTAGAAGTGACATCTTGAGATTGGTCTCCCTATACTTCTAGGAATTCTGTGTTTTAGGGGAAGATCTTTAGTCTATTAAAATCACATCTAACCGTGTCCCACCCCATGGTCACGCCATAAAGGATCAAATGGACACGCACTCAAATTTGAAAAAAATAAAAGTAACATCTTGCTCTTCTTATACTATTAGGAGTTCTGTGTTCTTAGTGAAGGCCCTCAGACTTTTCAAATCACCACCCCTCATCATTCATGTAGTCATTTAGGACTAGAAAAATATAAGTTCGCAATTATTGGATTGGAAGGTTTGAAATAGTTGGACAATTGCATTGCAAATGTTTCAATATTACGTTGACTTCCCCACATCTGCGGTTTCCGAGGCTTTCAGTCACCTGTAAGTGTGGCTGAAAACTAAAAGGTCCTGTGAGAATACCTACCAGTTTGTTGGAGTACCCAATTTGATCTATGGATTACGTATCGTAATATTTTTAACGAAACTAAATATAATCCAATTGTAGGGGTCTATTGGGCCCCAGCTTCTGGCACCTCCCTCAATGATGGTCCCAATTTTTATTATTTTAGGGGTTTGGCTTGATTTTCAACCGAATTAGCTTCTAATCTCCCTACCAAAAATTACCAGTGTCAGTCTACTGTTTGGAATAGCTTCCATAGAACCGAACCATCCCATTTTCCGTATTTTGACGACTTAAGCCGCATTTTCCAATCGATGGGGTATCAATTTAAAGGTCAACCACTCCTCTTGGATATGCTATTAACTTCTCGGGTCAGGACATATATGCGCAATAGAACACAAATTTTGTAATTTTTCACACAAAAGTCAGGGTTCATTTGGCCCGCTAAATATTGACCGATCTTTATCAAAACAGGCATGCTTATTCTTTGGCCCAATCCCCTTCACCATGTAAAATTTCGCGATGTTTTTGGCCATAATTGCGACCTCTGGAGAGACCAGAAAAACGGAGAAAAATTAAGTATTTGGTTCATTTCATCCCCTAAATATTAATCAATTTTTCCCAAAAACAATAGGGGTCTTCATTGGCCAGAACCCATCCTGCATGCAAAATTTCGTGAAGATTGGTCCATAACTGTGGCCTGTATCGTGTTTACAAATTATAATGGACAGGCGGTAGGACGGACGGACACACATGTCTAGATCGACTCAGCTAGTCGAGATATGACGATCGGTATACTTAATGGTGGGTCTAGGACCAATATTTCGCGGCGTTGCAAACTCTTGGGGCTGCACAAAGCTATAATACCCTGACAACATAGTTGTGTAGAGTGTCTGTAATTTGGAACACAAGTTTTTTTTCGGAGCATGAACAACCTACTATCACATATTAATATTAATGTCCCGATCGACTTCAGAAATTTTGAATGCACGCCACTTGGTGGAGGGTATAAAAATGTCGACCCGGTCGAACTTAACGACTTTTCCTCTTGATCTTTATGCCAATGATTCCTGTGTAACCCTGTATCTATATGGTTCATACGAGATCGGAAAAAAACCTTTTAACAAAACATTTCGTTCCTTGTAGTGAAGGGTGTAAAAAAGTCCGGCCCGTACACACATATCTTCATAATATCTGTTAAAGATACTACATGGAGCTCCTGCCCTATACGATATCTCCCAAAAGTTGTGTTAAAAATTGTATATCTGACGAATTTCGTATATCTCATCTGCAATTTATTCCATGTTCTCTGAACTACAATTTCAACATCAAATTCCGAAAAATGTCCCCACACATCATATCATCAAAAACATACGTTGCACTCAGCATGAACTTCGTCGATGTCACGTACATACGTGACTCAAAATAAAATATGTAAACATGACGTGTAAGTGAAGTCAGCGTGCAAATGTATTTGGAATAAATTTATGTTGGTATGAGGGTGACCAATCATAGTTGATGACGATGATATCTTTCGAAATTTATTTGAAAACAGCAAAACATATGTTGTTCGATACTGTCGTACATTTATTGCAAATAATTTAAACAGAAATGGAAAATTTTGAAGAAAAAATAACGGCAAATATTTCTTTAAAAAATTTTGGTTTCTTTTCCATATATTTTTTCCAAACCTGATTTTCTTCTCAATTAAATTTTGTATCCATAACTTTTCCATCAATACTGGTTTATGTAATCAATCTTATGTATATGTTTTTCATCTTTTCTTTATCTCTTGTTTCCCCCTCCTCTTCCTTTCTTTACAGAATACTGTAGACAAACTTGTACAAAGAGCCAATGCATCTCTCGTGATTGGAACATCCTCATGGAAGGAACAATTTGTTGAAGCCCTCACAGTAAATCCCGGTAAGTAACAACAATCTGAACAACAGCAACAACAAGTTAACATGAAAGGGATGTGGGAAAGGGAAAATTACAAAAAAAAATGGGAAAATCTACTAAACGTCCTCGTTGACATTGCCTTTCATTTAAAATGTGTTTTTTTTTCATCCTTTCTTCCAGGCGATGATGATGATGGTGAAGAGGGTGAAGATGGTGTGGCTTCCACGCCATCATGTTTCGATTATGTGATGCATTTCTTAACATTATTCTGGAAACTATTATTTGCATTCATCCCACCAACAGGTAAGAAGAGATATCTGAATCGTTTATTTTGAAAGTAGATTAAGTCAATTTTTTCTTATATTAATATATTTTAAGGTTTTGGTTTGATTTGTTTCAAAATAATTGTTAAGTGGTATTAATTTGATTTGTAAAGTTAGAGTAAATTGACTGGCTGACTGACTTAATGTTGCATCAACGTCCGAAATTCGTACTAAAACGGCACGAAAAGTACTAAAATGTACATTTGTATATGGCGAACCAGAATTAGAGTCACTGATGGAGTGAGAATAGATGTATCAAAGGGTTTTTTTCTGAAAATTCGAATTATAAGTATCCGAAAATAGTACTAAAATGTACAAAATTTTGTACAATTTCGTATCATGTGATAGAGCTAAAAACCTGAATTGTGGAATGCGAATCAAATTTGAGAAATATAGTCGATAAAGGGAGGTGGTTTTCAAAAGTATGTACACATGTATACGAAAAGTACTAAACAGTATTAAATTTGGTACAAATTGATATTGAAGAAACTGATGGAACTCTGAAATTTGAAATTAACATTACCGTCGCAGTGTAGAATTGGAATATGTACGTAGTTTTGGAAATTGTTTACATACGTATACGAAAAGTACTACATGCTTCTAAATACGGTACAATTTTAATTGTTGGTGAATCGATAGGCTGAAACACGGGAATTTGGAAATAAGATTATTATTGCATTGTATTGAAGTGTGTAGGTAATTTTGGAAATTCGTACTAATGGGTACTAAATTTGGTACAATTTAAATTTTTGATGAACCGATAGAGCTGGAATCCTGACATTTGCAGTTAGGATCACAGTAGGATTGGGGTATATATGAAGTTTTTGGAAATTCGTATTAACGTGTACTAAATTTGGTACGAATTGGATTTGAGTGAACCGATATGGCTTGAATCCTGAAATTTGGAGTAAGGATCACTGTTAGGATGTTGAATTGCGGTATGTACGAAGTTTTGGAAATTCCTAGCAAAGTCTACGAAAAGTACTAAATGGTAATAAATTTGATACAATTTGGATTTACGCCTAACCTAATGTGTACTAAATTTGTTACAAAATCGATTTGGGTGAACCGATACAGCTTGAATCTGAAACTTGTTGCTAGTAATGAAAATTTGTACGGATGTGTACTTCCCTGAGCTGTTCTTCCAAATCGACTATAAGAACTCCTTCCAACTCGCCAATAAACATAGCCTCTTGTTTGCCTGTGAAAACTAGCTACTACTCGTCCCTTCTGCTCTTCTGTAAAGACGGCCTTCAGCTCGTCTATAAATACCCCCTTCAGCTCATTTATAGAGAATCTCTTCAACTCGTCTGCAGTGACTTCCTTTAGATCGTCTACGAAAGACTCCCTTCAGCTCGTCTATAAGGATTAAGTTCAGATTGCTTATAAAATACTCCCATCAGCTCATCTGTATAAAAACTCCATTCAACTCGCCTATAAGGACACCCCTCAGCTCGTCGGTAGGTATTCTGTTCAGCTCGTCTATGAAAGACTCCGTTCAGTTCGTCTATGAAATATTCCATTAGGCCTCCTCCCTTAAGACTCCTTTCACCTCGTCTATGAAAGACTCCCTTCAGTTCATCTATAAATACTCCTTAAAGCTTGTCTTCAGAGAATCCCTTCAGCTCGTCTATGAAAGGCTCCCTTCAGGCCGTCTATGAAAGACTCTCTTCAGCTCGTCTATAAAGAATCCCTACAACTCGTCTAGAAAAGTTTCCCCTTTAGCTCGTCTGTAAAGACGTTCTTCAGCTCGTCTATAAAAACTCCCTTCAGCCGGTATATGGAGACTTTCAACAACTCATCTATCAATACTCTGTATATTCGGTTCGTCTATAGAGACCTTCTTCAGCTCGTCTATAGAGACTTCCTTCAGCTCGTCTATAGAGACTCCCTTCAGCTCGTCTATAAAAATCCTCTTTAGGTTGTCTATAAAATCCCTTCAGCTCGCCTATAAAATAATATTCCATTAAGCCTTCTCCCTTAAAACTCTTTTCCCCTCGACAATGCAAGACTCTCTTCAGCCCGTCTATGAAAGACTCCCTTCAGCTTGTCTATAAAGAATCCCTACAGCTCGTCTGTAAAGACTTTCATCAGATCGTCTATAAAGACTCCCTTCAACCCGTCTATAAAGATGTCTATGTAAGACCCCCTTCTGTTCGTCTATAGACCCTCCGTTTAGCTCGTCTATGAAAGACTCCTCTCAGATCGTCTAAAATACTCAAACCAGCTCGTCAATAAAACCTCCTCTCGTCTATTAAAATTCCGTTTGTCTATGAAAGACTCCTTTTAGCTCCCCTATAGATACTCACTTCAGCTCGTCTAAAGAGACTATCTTCACCCCGTCTATAAAGATTCCCTCCATATCTCCATAAAGACTTCCTCCCTCTCTGTTTACAAAGACTTCCTTCTTCACTAATCTATAAAGTCTACCTCCAACTCGTCTATGAAAGAATCCCTTCAGCTCGTCTATAGAGACACTCTTAGCTCTTCTATAGAGACCCCTCTAGCTCTCCTACAAATACTTCCTCAAGTTCCTCTAAATGTACTTCCCTCTTGATCCTTCCTCCCTCCAACCTTCCAACTAAATCGCGTGCCACTTACTTAACTTATCCAAATTAAATTTCCATTATAAAATAAAAGTTGTTTTTGTTGTTGAAGTAGAAAAAAAAAACAAAAAAGCTGCTAGAAATTAAATTAAAAACAAAAGTGAAGATAAAAGCAGAACTTCAACAGAGTGAAAGTGCCACTTGAAATAAAAAAAAAAAAACAGAAACAACAACTCGAGGAAATATTTTGTGCCATGGTGCCAACAACGACACCAAATCCATGCAGGGCAACAGCACCACCACCACCATTACCTGCAGCAACAACAACAGGTGTTGTCATGTCAAAGTTATTTGCTGTACATCCTGTCGTTTTAGTTTCGCTTGTATGTGTCGTTGTTGTCGCTGGTGTTGTAGTTGTTGTTGTAATTGTTGTTTTTAATTTTGTTTCCTTTATTTTTACTCCCCGTGTTCACTTTCACTTTGACTAACAACTTTTAAATGACTGCCGCAGGGCTTGTTATGCGGTTTGCCACAACGACAGCGGCAACAACAAAAACAATAATTGTAATAACAGCAACAACAACAACAAAACCATAGAGTCACACGATATTTTTCCTATTTGGATTTAGCGGCAGCAATAAAAATTTTCCTCGCTATGAAAGTAACTTAAATAAGATAAGTTTTAAGAAGCTTCAATGGATTCGATTGGGTTCGAAGTTTATTAGACACCCACTTGATCAGCTGATTATTTTTTAACAATTTAATCTTTATTATTTAAAGAAAATATTTTATATATAAATTTGTAATATTTATTTTTTATTTATCAATTTGTATTTATTTATTTTTTATTTTTTAATTTGTCATCCGTTTGTTTTTTTCTTTTCAGATATTGCCGGCGGCTATCTGTGTTTCGTTGTGTCGATATTCTGCATTGGTGTAGTAACAGCCGTTATTGGTGATATTGCCTCATATTTCGGTTGTACATTGGGCATCAAGGATGCCGTCACTGCCATTTGTTTCGTTGCTTTGGGTACCAGTATACCAGGTAAGTGCGAAAGGCTGGCTGCATGGCTGGCTAGCTGGTCGTAACGCCAAACTACAACAATTTATTTAAAAAATAAAATATGTAGTCATAAAACAACAAAAATTTATTTTAAAATATACATTCAAAATGAACGGAATATCTATCCAATGGAAAACTTCAATCAAGGCCATATTGATGGTTACCAAAGAGAAACTTTGAAATATTTTTTTATAGCCACTCATGTGGAAGTTGATGGGCGAAATATTCAAATTTGTGAAAGGGAATAAATCAAAAAATACACATTTCGATGAATTTAATATTGAGAAAAATATTTAAAAAAATCTAAAGAACTTTTCTATATAGCTGGTCTATAAAGACACTCTTCAGCTGGTCTATAAAGACACCCTTCAGCTCGTCTGTAAAGACTCCCTTTAGTTCGACTATGAAGGACTGCCTTCAGCTCATCTATGAAAGACCCCCTTCAGCTCTACCATGAAAGACTCCCTTCAGCTCTACTATGAAAGACTCCCTGCTTCAGCTCGTCTATAAAAGACTCCCTTCAGCTCATCTATGAAAGACTCCATCCTATGAAATACTCTCTTCTTCGAGTCTATAACGGCTCCCTTCCTTTTGGTCTATAAACAATCCCGTCACTTCGTCGATAAAGACTTTCTTCACTTCGTCTATAAAAGGCTTCCTTTAGCTCGTCTAAAAGTCTCCCTTCAACTTGTCTATGAAATATTCCCTTCAGCTCGTCAAAAGTCTTATAAAGATTCTCTTCAACTCGTCTATAAAGGCTCCCTTTCTGATCGCCTATAAAAATCCATTCTGTTCGCCTATAAAAAATCCCTTTAGTCCCTCTATAAAGATCACCTTCATCTCGTCTAAATGTCTCCGTCCACCACGTCTATGAAAGACTCCCTTCAGTTCGTCTATAAATACACCTTCCAACTCGTCTATGAAAGACTCCCTGCTGCAGCTCGTCTATGAAAGACTCCCTGCTGCAGCTCGTCTATGAAAGACTCCCTGCTGCAGCTCGTCTATGAAAGACTCCCTGCTGCAGCTCGTCTATGAAAGACTCCATGCTGCAGCTCGTCTATGAAAGACTCCATGCTGCAGCTCGTCTATGAAAGACTCCCTACTGCAGCTCGTCTATGAAAGACTCCCTGCTGCAGCTCGTTTATGAAAGACTCCCTGCTGCAGCTCGTCTATGAAAGACTCCCAGCTGCAGCTCGTCTATGAAAGACTCCCTGCTGCAGCTCGTCTATGAAAGACTCCCTGCTGCAGCTCGTCTATGAAAGACTCCCTTCAGCTCGACCCCCTTCAGCTCATTTATGAAAGACTCCCTTCAGCTCTCTGTTAAGGCGCTCCTCTGCTCGTCTTTGAAAGACTCCCTTCAACTTGTCTTTGAAAGACTCCTTTCACCTCGTCTTTGAAAGACTCCCTGTTTCAGCTCGTCTACAAAGTCTCCATCTAACTCTTCTATAAAGACTCCCTTCAGCTCTTTAAAGACTCCCTTTCATTCGTCTCGAAAGACTCCCTGCTTCAGCTCGTCTATGAAAGACTCCCTGCTTCAGCTCGTCTATGAAAGACTCCCTGTTTCAGCTCGTCTATGAAAGACTCCCTGCTGCAGCTCGTCTATGAAAGACTCCCTTCACCTGGTCTATGAAAGACTCCCTTCAGCTCGACCCCCTTCAGTTCGTTTATGAAAGACTCCCTTCAGCTCTCTGTTAAGGCGCTCCTCAGCTCGTCTTTGAAAGACTCCCTTCAACTTGTCTTTGAAAGACTCCTTTCACCTCGTCTTTGAAAGACTCCCTGTTTCAGCTCGTCTATAAAGTCTCCATCTAACTCTTCTATAAAGACTCCCTTCAGCTCTTTAAAGACTCCCTTTCATTCGTCTCGAAAGAATCCCTCTTCAGCTCGTCTATAAAGCCTCCCACCCCCTGGCCCTTAAACTCGTCTAAAATTCATGTCAAATGTTTTTAACGTTTTTTTTATTTATTTTTTTTTATTTATTCATATTTTCTTTTATTGTCATCTTCCAGATACTTTTGCCAGTAAAGTCGCTGCCATCCAAGATAAATATGCCGACGCCAGTGTGGGCAATGTAACCGGTAGTAATGCTGTCAATGTCTTCCTTGGTATTGGTGTTGCGTGGTCTCTGGCCGCCATTGTGCACGAGGCCAAGGGCACCGTCTATGCAGTGGAACCGGGAACGTAAGTCCTTGAAAATTTGTGAAATTGGAATAGATAAATTATTAATCTCATTTGTATTTTTAGTATTGCCTTCTCGGTGACGCTGTTCTGTTCAGAGGCATTAATTGCCATTTTAATACTCATGTTGAGACGTAGTAAAAAAGTGGGCGGTGAATTGGGTGGCCCGAAGAAAATCAAATACATCAGCAGTGGTATTATGTTCAGTTTATGGGTTATCTATTTGCTTGTGAGCACCCTGGAGGCATATGGTGTCATCGAAGGATTCTAAATGCCAGCAGGATCTAATCCAGCAGACTTCCAAAAATTTACTACACTCACACATACACACGTACATACATACATAACGATAAACACAAACAAAAGATCTACATCTTCTGCAACTACTGCAAAGCAACTGAAAAAGAAGAAGATGAAGAAAAAAAGTAGCAACAGAAAGGATAACAACAACAACCACATTACAACAACTACAGCATTACTATTTGTAAACAACAACAAGAAAAACCCAATCTTTTTTATATTTAATTACTACTACAACAACAATCTATCTATCTAATCTAACTATCTTTCAATCTATCTACATACCTACATATGTATACAAAAAAACATACAAACATTTCACTACTACTACAACAACAACAAACAAAACCAACTTGAACTATAGCTACAACTATTGTTATAAAATTTAGAAGAACAGGAAATAAAGAAAAGAAGAAGATTAAGGAAAAAAGGATGAAGCAGGAAAAAAACCAAAACCAAAAAAAAATTAGATCATGAAAGACGGCAATATAAGCCCTAATTAATTTTAGACTTACTTCTACTTCTAATATTACTACTACAACTACACTTACTGTTAGATCGACCTTAAACAAAAAACCAAAATCTAGTAACGAAAGAGAGGGAACCAAAGAAAATTAACTTTGTTGTTGGTGTTCATATATATCTAAACATATAAGCCAGCAAACAAATCTCTTTTAAAAGAAAAGCCAAAAAATCGAAAAAAAAAATATTTCAATAAAAAAAAAAAACAAAAAACAAATCTACAGAAATGCATGAATGGATCTTTGTACAGGACTATGTCTATGTCTGTGTCTGTTCCAATTTAAAAATGGCCACCAAATGGAATTTTTTATATTCCATTTGGTCCACCACACACAGTCCAGTCAATGTTAGTTAAACTAGCTAATATATAACCTAACCTAAAAAAACACAAAAAAAAATAAAATAAATAAATTATGTAAACAAAAAAAATCAAGCAAAATTTAATGCAACTAAGTACTTTAAACAAAATGAAAAACCTAAGAAAAAAACAACAACAAAAAACATACATTTATTCTTAAACTTACGATTACTATAAGCGAAAACACCCCCTACCCTGCCCCCCCTTAAATAATGTCCTGATTTCCCTCTGGGGAATCATGAATATATTGGAGAAATTCCCAAATATGTAACTGTGTTTTTTCTACTAATTCATTTGGTGAACTCCTAAAAGTATGCTTCAAAATTAAAGGTTTTTTATAATTGCTCTGTCTCTCTCCCTCTCTTGGTGTGCTGTTTTCACAATGGGGGATATATTTCTCATGAATTTTCCCTGTACTTAATTCTGAAATAAATGAATAGATAAATAATCGATAAACATAAATCGATAAATTATCGATAAAAAAACGAACATATTTTTGTCTATGGTAATATATAAAGTTACAAAAAATATACATTTTCTTAATATGGAATAAATCCAAAACTTGTGGTTGTATTAAAAATCGATAGATTATTGTTATCGATAATGTAGACATCAACATATTTTGGTCTATGGTAATTAATGAAATTAAATAAAAAAGAAATAAATAAATTATCTTGGCATGGAAAATATCCCAAAATTGTGGTTGTATTATAAATCGATAAATTATAGTTATCGATAATATTGACATAACATAGTTTGGTTTATTGCAATTTGTAATAATAACTAAAAATAAATAAATTATCATGGCATGGAAAAAACACCAAATTGTGGCTATGTTATAAATCGATAAATTGTCGTTATCGATAATATAGACATCTACATAATTAGGTTTATTGAAATTTGTAATGTTAAAAAAATAAATAAATTATCATGTCATGGACATAATAAGAAATTGTTGTTGCATTATAAATCGATAAATTATAGATACCGATAAAATAAAATATCGATAAAAGAATAATATTTTGGTCAATGGTAATTTATAATATTAAACAATACAAATAGTATTGGCATGGCAAAAAGTCAAAAACTGTTGTATCGATAAATTATTTATGTCGATAAGTTATCGATAATATAGATATCCACAATATCTATAGCAATATTAAAAAATATAAATTATTTTCTTACGGAAAAAAGTAACCAAATTGTGGTTGTATATTTTGTCGATAATTTTTTTAATTTCGATAAATTGTCGATATCGATAAATATTGGAAACAAAAATATATTCGTCTATGGAAATTTAACAAATTGAAACTGATTTTCTACGGAAAAATCAATAAATTGTTGTTGTATTATAAATCGATAAACTTGTTTGTGTCGATAAATTATGGATATCGACGGAAATGGACACAAAACATTTTAGTCTATGGAAATTCTGAAAATTAGAAAAATGTAAACATACTTGCTTTGGAAAAATCTCCAAAATTTGGTTTTATGATAAATCGATAAATTATCGATATCGATTAAAATAGAGACAAAAATATTTCATATTATGAACATTTGTAATATTAAAAAAAATATGCAAAAAATATTTTTTGCATGAAAAAAGTCAGCATATTTTGATTGCATGATAAGTCGTTAATTTTTCATATCGATAAATTATCGAAAATATAAAAATTAATAAATTTCGGTCTATGGTAATTTATAAAATTAAATAAAAACATATAAATTATCTTGCTATAAAAATCACCAAAATGTGATTGTATTATAAATCGATAAATTATTGATATTGATAAGTATGGAGATGGAAATATTTTTGTTATCGAACAAATTTACTTGCAAACAGTCTGTTCTATGGAAATGTTCAACAAAAAAAAATTAAAATAAATTGTCTTGCTATGGAAAAATCACTAAATTACATACACACATTTCGATAACAATTGATAAAAAACTGATCAAACAATCGCATTTCGATAACAATCGAACAATTAAAAATTCTGGGATATTTATTTCAATATCATAATTTCAAGTTCCAGAAAGAATTTGTATTAATTTCATGGTCATAATAAAATAAACACACTTTCGATAAATATCGATATAGTCAATTTTCTGGCAATTTTTCAAAAATAAAGAAAATAACACCATTTTTCTAAATTCTCAGAACTGTTTTTATATTCTCGGGATATTTCTCCATATTTTAATGATTTTGTTTTCATAAAAGCCAAATTTCGATAACAATCGATAAAAATATTTGTGTTGTGATTTATCATAATTTTATAACAACTTCATGCCAAAATAAAAATCTAAATGATTTTTTTCATAAATAACATCAAAATTAAAGGAAACTACATTTCGATAAATATCGATAAAATTTAGTTTGAAAGCAACTTTATAAAAACAGTGAATTTTTGGTAGAGTTTTTCCATATATCCATTGTATACCATTTAACATGACGTTTATCTATTATTCGTATGTATATTTTTCATTTCGATAAGTATCGATATAACGCATATTTATTCAGAAAAAATATTAATTTTTATCGTTTTTATATATGTGTTTAACGTATGTAAACAACTATATTTAAATATTATATATATGTGCATTATTTTCTGATATTATATGGTTTATCGATATGGTTATGGTTTATCGATATTTATCGAAATGAAAATTGGTATTTTTGTAAATCTAACTATTATCTATGGCTTGTAAACAAATCATTTTTGTCTATACAATAAATTTTAATAGATATTTTATCGATATAAGCAAAAAATACCATCGATAATTATATGGATAAGAAGTTTTGTATTCAAATAATAGCCAATGATATATCGATAAAATACTTTGTATTCATTGAAATAATGTCCAATGATTTTAATTGTAAATAGTTTGTTATCGATTTGTATAATTTTTGTGTTCAATATAACATTTTGATTTTTTTTTTCTTTGGATTTCGATAAATTTTATTAATCGAGATTGATTTCGATTTTTATCAATAATAATGTTAAAATGTTTTATAGATTTTTTTAATATAAATTCACTACCACTAAAAACGTTACCAATAAAATCAGTTATTTTTGCCACACATGGTTATCGATAATTTAACATATTATCGATAAAACAGTGTAATTAATATTGAATATTTTTAAATGCAATTTTTTTGTTAATACTATAATAAAAAACACTCTATCGATGGAAAATATCTATCGATAACATGTGTTATCGGAATCTAGAAATATTTAAATATAAAAAAATAGATTAGTTTGTAAATTAAAATTATCAATGAGATAAAAAATATCGATAAAACTCGATTATAATACAACAACAATTACAAATTGTATTTCCTAATTGAAAGTTATCGATAAAATTCGATTATAATGCAACTACAATTAGTAATTATAAGTGAAAAAATGTACTTACATTTTTTGTAAATTTCAAAATTATCGATAAAAATTTCAAAATTCGATTATAATACAACACAAAAACTATTTTCAAATATTTTGATTTATAAAAACAAGTACAGGGAAAGAGAGTTTACCCCCATTATATCTGTCCAAATAGTCCCCATTTTATATATATATAAAATAAATTATTGTGTATAGTCCAAAAATTAAAACAAAAATAAAAATTATACATTTTTATAGCCATCGAAGAAATAACAACAACATAGGCAACAACAAAACGCCAAGTAATAAAACAAATAATTGTTAATTTTTTAAAAAATATATATTAAAATTCTCCTGGGAAATTTCCGTTGCAAAAGGTGTATTAGCGATAACAAAGAAATTATTTTAATTTAAAAAAAAAAATATTTAAAAAATTATTTATTTATTAAAAACAACCATAAATCCTAAGAACCTTTCCTTCCCCCACAATACAAAAAAAAACAAAGAAGGACATAAGTCAAGAATTTATTACAACAAAAAACTAGGAAATTTATAAAAAAAATCTTAATATTATTTAAAGAAGAAGAAGAAGAGATGAAAAACCTATTATTATATTTAAAAAAACATTTATTATTTAAGTTATAGCAAATTAATTAAAAAAAGAAATGTTTTGTTTTTTGTAATTTATTGAAAAGAAAAAAAATAATTTGT